AGATGTGATGGGATGTTAGCGACGTGTTTGTGCCAAATGAGGAATTTGTTTAGTACGATGCCAAGGTATTTAAAATAGTTGTACCGTAGTACGCTGCTGTTGACCATCTAACAGCTTAAGTCAATGGTATTAAAAAAATGCAGACATTTTTTACTGCTTTGACAGCAATAATTTTGGTTTTATTTTGCAAACAACAATATAATTATGCATAAACGCACATTGTAAAGAAATATAGAACATTCAAAAAGAAATATAAAAAATGTATAAATATAAAAGAAATAAAAAAAAATGAAATCATTAAAAAAATATTGATTTGACTTGTGCGATAGGGGTTTCTCCACTCTTTCACTTGGCTTTTGCAAATCGATCTCCATTTGGGTGTTTGCACATCGTAATGGGTGTTGCAGGTGAGCGTCCGTTATGTTTGAGCGTGTTTCGTGTTGGGTCAACTTCATTTTCGGAAAAAACGCTTCCCTGGCGTAAGTTGAATCCAAAGCGCTAACAACTTGAACTAAGAGTCTGGTTTGCTCTGCTATCAACAATCAACTGTCCGCCTCTAGGGGTGTTCACTGCACCTCTGAGGTCACTTAAAGTGAAATATAGAATCTGTTATATTAGATGTTCTAAGATGCGCGCGCCACATGAGTTCGCAGAATATAATTTACTAAATTCTGCGAACTCATAAATAAAACAGGTAATATCTGTCCTGTATTCGCAAGTATATTATTTTTAAATCAAAGTTCATTTTTTTCTCGCCATTTCGACAGTTCATTTTTAAATATAGGGATGCACACATAGTGTATTTTTTTAATGCATTGGTTTTCACTCTTTTGGCCATTATAAAATAAATATATTTTGTAAAAGTGTGATAAATCTCACGGGCCGGAAATATATTTAAGGCGGGCCGCTGGTTGGCCACTCCTGTACTACACATATTAGTACTGGATAACTAAAAGGCTCGTTCACACCGATGCGTGAGGCGTTGAAGCGCGAAGCATTGACCAATCGCTAGCCTGAAACCGGTTGAAATCCACCGCTTCGAGTTCACGAACTCTCAAATGCTTGCAACGTCATATGACTTGGACTGAGCCAATAGTAGATCTGGAAGAAGAAGAACTGGAACTAGGCGCAAAGCGATTTCTGAAGCTTCGGTGTGAACGGGTCGAAAAAATTTTCTACCCTGCCGCGTGACGCTTCGTCGCCTCACGCCTCGGTGGGAACGAGCTTTTAGATTTGAAGCATTCAATTATTAGATATATCGATTGTGAGAATTTTTATTTAAGATTTCATTTTGAAAATGTTTCTAAAATTGTTTGAATAGTGAAAACAACGACTAATTAGACTGAAAAAAATTCTGGCGTCTTTCTTTTATTCTGGTTGAAACAAAATTCGATCCTCCGCAAAATTGGCGATTAATCTGCATATGTGATAAATTGCGGTTAGTTATATAAAGCAACAAGAAACTTGGCGATATTTTTTGTGTGTCTTCAAAAGTAATTAAGTAATTTGCAACTGTCCTTCAGTCTTATTTTAAGAAATGATATATATGCAGATTTGGACGCTTGCTTAAGACGCATCCGAGCCGAAACCCCAATTTATGTAGATTTACACCGGTTTCAACTGATTCATCCCGGCCGAACCTACAGTTTTGTTAGACTTCTCTACCAGTCTAACAGTGGCTGTACTTTTGCAGTGGGTGTCTAGGGGTGTATTTCCAAACCAAAATAAAGAAGCGTTGGTTTTTTCACAACAACACATATTTAATGAATATATTTACATTAACAATTAATCATTTACAACCATTTTCTACCGCTGCTTGACGCAGCGCGTTGCAGTTTCGCCATCTCCCAGCGTTCCTCTCTCGCGCCCAACTACGGGGTTTCTTCCCTTCTCCCAGGGCCAGAGTTCAAGGTCCAATACTGCCACTACATGGCAAAAGGTTGGTGTGAAAGGCACATAGTCCGTGATGTGTTTCGATCTGGTGCTTAGCAGGCAAACAAATCCTACGTATATTAACTTTTATTATTTTACTGATATTGATTTTTTTACATTTTTCAGACTTAAAAAAAAAAAAAAAAAAAAAATGGCTCTCGATAGCTATGAAAGTGAAGAAGACGGCGTGAAAGCTCCAAAATTTTCAATAACCATGTACGAATCGGAAGGTAATAAATTCTTGCGTTCACTGTTAATCGAAAAAGCCATCGAATCTTTTGACGGTGGTCTGAAAATGGATCCGAATAACATTAAGTGTTTATTGGGTCGCATAAAGTGTTTGATGAAACTCTGTGACTACGACGAGGCCCAGAAATCTGCAGAGAAAGTGATAGCCATCAATCCGAAATGCACGGAAGCCGTCGTTCTGATCGGCGAGATATTGTACTCGAAGGGAAATTTCGAAGAGAGTTACATGACTTACAAATCGGTTCATCGCCAGCAGCCGTATTTCCCCTTCTCTTACAATGTGAAGTACGGCCATCAGAAATGCATCAAGGCCATCCAGAACGCCTTGGATACTGAAACTCGGCTGGTCGTGACTCGCACTGAAGTCGAGGAGGTGGACAACCTTCTTCAGAAGAACTACAAGAGAAAGGCCAGAACGACGGGCGCCACTCCCCAGGTCACTTTCCACAAAGACGTGAAGCTGGTCGAATCTCTTGTGCAAGACAAGGATCTGGATTTCGCTTCTGCGGCCTTCAGGGATCTGCTGATGCTTCTTGAAACGAGCGCTGAATTTGATCGGCTGCAAAAGCCGGATCTGTCGGAGAAACCCTGGCACGAGAGCCTGGAGCTGCGACGAGTGAAGGACAAGTGTAAATTGTCCAAGAAATTCCTCCAAGAAGGTGACATCGAATCTTGCAAGAGGAACTGCTTCGAAATCCTGAAAATGTTTGACGACTTGTTCGGCCATTACACCTTGGAAACTTTAAAGGTGCTGGCGCGAGTTATGCACTTCTTGGGGCTCGCCAGCGAGTCGGACGGGGACTTTTCGAAAGCTCAGAAGTATTACCAACACGAACTGAAGATTGGCCAAAGCCAAAACCTGACACAAGTCGAAAGAAAAGCTCTTTTGAGCGCAGGAGAATGTTACTTGAAATGGAAAGATTTTGAGCAGGCCGCGGCCACATTCCACCAGTGCTTGGACATTGCCGAAACGAAAGAAGAAAAGGCAAACTTCCTGAACAAAATCGCCAACTGCGAATTCAATTTAAACAACCTGGATGACGCCAAGAGATACGCAACTCAATCACTTCACGCGGCCAAGGGCACTAACAATTATCGTCTTCAGTGCAGCACTGCCATGCTGCTGGCAGAAGCAGAAGTGACGCAGGGGAACATGAAAGAAGCCAAGAAGCATTACAGGAGAGCATTGGCCATCGTGCAGCAGAGCGGAGATCCCACTCTCAGGGGGATTATAAACATGAATAGGGTATACGATCAGCTAGAGGAAGATGACAAGTAGTTTGCATGATGATGATTTGACCCAAAATAAGACCCTCAGGAAGTTCGGAATTTGGACTTAAAAGTCCCTTATAGTCAGTTAAGGTCTGTCACCTCACGAAATTTTCTCATGCATACGTGTTTCAGTTTCCCTCATTGTTGTTTATACAGTTCTGTTCTGTTTTTTCAGCTTTTAAAGTTTTCTTTACATTCATTCATATTAATAATATTAATTGGAAAGACTTGTACAATATGTAATGACAAAAAAAAGATTAGGAAATTTTCTACTATTGTTTTATTTATTTATATCTTAAATATGCATTTAAAAATGTAGCTGTATTTGTTAAAAAAATTGTGATAGAACTACCAGCCTTGATCGCCTAATAAACACAATATAAAATAAAAAATTTCAAGTTTGAACTTACTGTACTCTTAACTTTTTTTTTTTCTATTTCCTTGCACTAAATGGATGTCTATTCTTTGTAGCATTTTAAAATGGATTGTGTACGCATTAAAAGTTGGGTAAAAGTGTTCCTTGTTGTCTGTCGATATTGCAGACTGTTAATAGATTAAGTGCAAGATACGAAAGATTTTGCATGCATACTTCACAAGTGTTAATAAAGAAGCAAGATCTTTCGGAAGACCGTTTTCAGCAGAGATGAGGAGTTGCGAGTAAAGCATTTTTGAAGGAGCCAGTTTTCCCATGAGTGTTTCCCTAAATTAAAGAAACACCATGGCTGTTATTCTGAGCGAACTCAGGTAGCGGAGTGGATTGAAATGTTCACCGAGACACATTATCTTACTGTGTATCTGAGAGCCATTGGGCTTAAAAATTTGCGGCCTTCCAGTAAAGAAGACGAACTGGTGCAGGTGTAAAGAAACGAATAGCTGACCGCAAGGTCGAATTTAAGCCCAACTCTACTTGCTATTCAATAACATAGTGTACTTGAATTCTTTTGCAGACTAGTGACACAGTTAGGTTTTATTTTTACCCCTTTTTTTCTGTAGAAAATAAAAGGATAGGGGTACTAATGTTTTCATTTTCAGATTCATCTTTATGGCCCACATGTTCAGCAATCACCATTTTAAATCTGTCAATATTCTTGTGGCATCGACAACGGGTCCCTCATGGTACCGAATTTTTAAGTTACATTCTTTTAATTTTAATTTTAACTTTATTTAATTTTTGTCTCACTTTTAGTATTTTTTTAATTTTTAGGAACTTTATTTTGTATCACTTATTAACTTTATGCAGCCAATTAAAATCGTAAATTTATGTTGTTGTTGTTTCTTATCCCACTTGGCTGGCCAAGCCCACGAGCCCATATGGACTCATGATTGAAGGGGAAGGAAGCAGCTTCTGTTGTGATGGAGCACCTGTAGGTAGAAGCCTGACTTTTGCTCCGTGACGCTCTTACAGTCATAGAAGACCGGGACCTACGGCTTAAAGTGGATTCCGAACCACTACAAACATCCATGGCACCGCCGGGATTCGAACCCGAAACCTGTGACACCGAGCGCCAGAGCGCTAGACACTCGGCCATTCAGGTCCCAAATTTGCCAACGGCACGCAGTGTTCCCAGGTGGTCACCCACCCTAGTACTGACCGCGCCCAATGATGCTTAACTTCGGTGATCTAACGAGAACCGGTCGTAAATTTATAAATGAATTAAGACGAGGAGGGTTAAGGGGTACGCCAGTTGACAGAAGGAGCAGCTAATATAAAATGAAATGTTAAGGAGACAGACAATCCAATTGCAATTCTTGAATAGTACAACAGTAACAAAGACAGTGACTGCTTTAGCAGCAAACTAAGTCAATGTTGAGAGATTTTTCTCAGCTCTGAGGTTTATAAAAAGCTGTTTTGGATCCCCAATGAAAAAAGACTTTACAGAAGCTATTAGTAGATGCCATATTGAATATAGCAATTTTGCGACATTTACTGTACGACATTAGTGTACATTTTTCTGTTGCTTGTATTAAAGATCGTTCCCGCCGAGGCGTGAGGCGGCGACGCGCCACGCGGCAGGGAAGAACAATTTTTCGACCCGTTTACACAGAAACTTCAGAAATCGCTTTACGAATAGTGAAGTTCCAGTTACTTCTACTAGATGACAGATCTATTATTGGCTCAATCCAAGTCACATGACGCAGCAAGCATTTGAGAGTTGAAAGTGGGCCAACTCGAAGCGGTGGATTTCAACCGATTTCAGGCGAACACTGTGAGGCTAGCGATTGGTCAACGCCTTGGTGGGAATGAATCTTTCAGCTACTGAGCAACAGGGCGTACCGGTTACGGAGTTCCAATGTGGTTTAAATAACCACTAAACCTCCACATCTTAAAATTAATGAAAATATTTTCACAAATGACTTTGCTTAGATTATTGAATAAGAATATTAAAGGAAATAAAAGGAATTACGAAAACATCTCTTGCTTGAGAACAATTAAAGCATGAGATCGAAAAAGAAAAAGCTATCGGTACAATTAGGTGTTCGTTCCACGATGCCCAAAACGAAAAAACACTTTATAAATATACTAAAATTACAGTCAACTACAAATACAAAGTGATACAGGCAGAATTAAACTATTCTAAAATACTTTTCTCATTATTCTTTTCTTGAAATGAAAGGCCTCGAAACATATGAGAACTTTATTAACAACTACATCTTCCAATTTACATAGTGACAACGAAAATTTTGTTGTTCACAAATAATAGTGAATAAATATTAGATGTCCCAACAAATTTCAAAGAAGACATGAACAACATAAAATGATTAGATTAAAATCTAATCATTTTATATTTTTCATGTCTTTTTTGCTTATTTCTATCATTTTCTTTTTTGCTTTTGATCAAATTTTTCTTCTTATACTCAAAATACCAAGGAGTTGCAGTATCAGAAATTGCAGACTTAAGTTCATAGTTTAAAAAAAAATATGCAATAAATATTTTTTTTAAATTATGAAATAATAGAAATGTTGCCTGTTATGAAACAATAATAAGGCCTATTTTTGCATTTATTTAAATAGATTTACATACATTTGAATTAAAAAATTTTGAATTTAAAACTTAATTTTCATGCTCTAAATAATTAATTTATGGAAATAAAATATCAATTTTTCCTGTCCTCTCTCGCAAATTAACTCTTCATTTAGCATACATTCAAATGAAAAGCAAAAGAACAGAAATGCTTTTAAATCACCAATCTCTTTTTTTGATAATGCCTTTATTAGAACCAAAACCAGAAAATTAGTAAGAATTTTTTAACCTATCTTACATGAACAGTTTGAATTTTATTTTAAGCAATTTTTAAATATTTTTTTTCTTGTTTCAATACCATAACTTAATCAGCAGTTTTTGATACTGCTGCTCCTTGGCATTTTGAGTATAAGAAGAAAAATTTGATGAATATATAAAAAGCATTTACAAGTTCATGGCAATAATGTCTTAAATAAAGATAATTTTTATGTAAAAATATTTTTAAAAAATGAACTAATTTATAGTAAGTAGTTAATATTTGTTTCAATTTTAAAGTGGCATAGTATGACTAAGAATAATTGTTCTGCTAAATGACAACACTTTTTTTAGCCCATTTATATGAAAATTGACAGCATTCACCTTCAAATAACCACATATAAATTTGTAAAAATATAAGGGAAAAGGTAACTACAGAGTTACAAAAAACATAATAGAGCGTGTGGTTAATAGAGCACTAAAAACAATTTATATTTTTTTTTTTTAATTTATATAAATGCATTTACATGATCCCAAAATTCAAACTTATTTCCTTAATTTTTTATGCAATATCTAAATGTGATAACAATTTCCTTGTTTTTTTTTGCACCTGGATTCTTTATTTAGCATAATTTATAATTTAGATTCATATGAAATGCAAAACGAGGGTTTTCAAAGACAAATCAGGGTTTTAAAAGCATCACAAACATAAAAATATTTATAATATTATCACTCAAATAAGGCCCATTTGGATCTATTCAACTAGAAAGACTGATAAGAATTTTTGGAAACTTTTTTTTTATTTCAGTTATACGACTTCAGATTTAAACAGACAAGTAAAGAATAATTTTTTTTTATTACATGGACAGAAAATGAAAATATACCCACATTAGGATACAACAATCACTGAATCCAAAAATTACCTATTACCTCCCTTTTTATCTCACAGCAATGAAAGTTAATAAACAGAGAAATGCATATTTTATAATAACAGCAATATCATTCTCTTAAGTAACTCATCAGATTATTGTTTATAATTTTTGAATGATATATATTATTTATGAAATGCTTAAAGATTCCACTTGATCTAAGAAATTTTATTAATTATAATCCATCTAAGTAAAAAGAATTTGCTTTGTTTATTAAAAGGAAGATTACAGGATTGCGGTTATAATTTGAATATGAAATGTGCAGCAGTAGAATTTATTTTTTGAAATCTGTTTGCTATACTAATGAGGTAAAAAATAATTTCACAACCATTGTGGAATGCTTTGCGTAAGAACTAGATATTATATTATTACAAAAATCTCAGGCTTCAAATTTGAAAATTATTAATAAAATAATTTTAAAAAGAGAGAATAAATAAAAATGATGCTTTACATTTAAAATTATTTTTTTAATAATTGATCTTATAAAATATGTTCACAATAACTTTAAGTGTAAAACTTTTCAATTTCAGAAGGAAGTAGAGTATGCTTTGGAAAAATAAGTTAATTAAGTTTTAAGTGTAAATTTGCCATTAATCTAAATTATATTGTTGCTATTAGACCATGCCATTGTGCCAAAAGCTGAGATGGCACAAAAAGCTGATATAATTTTCAATATCCTGAATAAACAAACAGGTGAATTATAGATTGTATACTCTGAAAAAAAAATCCTAAACTTCATCTTTTTAAATTTTATTTTTTGGATTATTTATGCCACCAATGTACATAGAAGAAAAATTTCTTTTAAAGTATTACATTAGATAAAATTTAAATCAAATGAAAATCTTAACAACAGTATAAAAAAAAAAGCAAATATTTTACATAACAAAATAAACATAAATACTCACAGTAAATAAATACATCTTCTAATAAAACATCTAATAAAGATTTCTAATAGTATTTTAACAAAATATATTCACATAAATATACAAGCCTACATTAAAATTTAAAATAGATAGCTATGCAGTTCAACTCTGCAGGCATTGTGGATTACTATATCATAATTAAATTAATCAACTATAAACAGATATTAATTTTTTAATTAAAATAGGAAAATATCGTAATATATAATTTTATAAGATTACAATCGGATTATATTTATATATCAATTTGCTTTTAATAGTAATTTTTATTTATATAAAAATATTGGTTTTAATAATTATAGATTGAAATTATGAAATAAAAAAAAATCATTGCCCTCATTATCTGTTGAAAAAAAAAATACTAATTAACATTATAAATTAAAGATGAAAATCACTCAGGTTATAAATCATTAACTCTTCCCATGAAAAGAATTAAATTGCTGTTTACATTATAAATAACAAACATAAATGGATGGTCTGCATAAAAGTCTGGACTCATACAATAAGGTACAATTTCTATTTCTGAAACAGCAGCTGCTTCACTTCCTACTTCATTGACTACTAGAACAGCCTTATGAATAATATTAGAAACCAAAAGATTTCCAGTTTCAGAAATGCCTTCTAAGTTGGCTGTTTGACAGAATATACTTTCTAACCCCAAACTTAAGAAAGATTCTTTCAATGACTTTGAATACTCAAGTTCAAATTTAGGAAGTGCTACACTGACAGTTTGTTCCCACATGTTCTTTGTAAGATCACACAAAAAAGTGGGACACAAAGAATTTTCAAACTCTTCCAAATTACTTTCGTTATCAGGCAGTAAAATCAGCATAGATATATCACCTCCTTTATATGGGAGTTGAAGTGCTTTGTAATTATCCTCTTCAACAAACATAAATCTTTTAGTCATAAACATTGTTTGTACTTTTTTGTAGTTATCTTTTTCACCTCTTATGTTGAAATTTTGAAGAGATGTATTTTCTGCATCGAAAGGTTTTAACCACGATCCTTTAAAATACACAGCATTTAGAATAACCATAACAGTAGATGGATCCAGAAAATCCAAGAGCTTAGGAATCATGTTGTTAGTTTTTTCACTCACCCATGAATTTATTTCTTCTGTTGCTTTCTCATCCTTAAAATCAACTTCTAATATGACTGCTTTAAAGAAATCAAATAAGAGTGATTTGTACTCCTCTCTTACATCTAATTCTTTCTGATAAAACATTGAATTGGCATAAGTCAAAGTATATGCTTCTGTTTTGCATTCTAAGTCAGAAAGGAGTTGTTGGAAAAAAATTTGATTTCTTCATTTTTAATATTGGCAATTTCATATCCAAGAACGGTCTTCATTTCTTGCATAGTTTTATTCCGAGCACCATAGAACAACATGCCCAGAGCTGTTGAAAGACTGAAAGGGGAGAAGAAAACATTTTTCCCTTCTTTAGCCAACATTTTATATAACTGCAGTCCAAAATAATTGTTTGCATTTGCAACTGGTTGATTTTCAGATATTCTGCCAGAATCCTACAACAAAATACATGCACACAAATATATATATATATAAAG